AAAAAAATAAATTTAAATATAAATTTTTTTAAGAGGGAGAAAAGAAATACCCTAAAATAAGGATCCAACACTGCAAATATGACTGTAACACAAAATACAAAGTAACAGCTTAACCAATGTTATATCATTGTCTACTAAGCATTATGAAAAAAATAAGTAATAAGTTGAACTTTTAGAAGTAGAGAATACAACTATGGTTACTAGAGGATGGGAAGTGGAGGAGTGAGGGGGGATAGTAAGAAATTGCCTAATGAACACAAAATTACACCTAGATAGGAAAAATAAGTTCTAGTTGTGTACAATGTGCTAGGCAACTATAATTAACAATAATTTCTTGTATGTTTTAAAATGGCTAAAAGAGAGGAGCTTAAATACTGTCACCTCAAAGACAATAAATTTTTGCAATAATGAATTTGCGAACTACCATGATCTGATCATTATGCACTGTGTACATGTACTGAAGTATAATCCTGTACCCCATAAATATGCACAATCAATACAATTCAATTAAAAAATAATATAAAAAAATTTTTTTAATTTTAAAAAGCACTATGAAACATAGAAAACAAGAGAGTAGAATTTTTACTATTTTAACTTTTGAATATATACAGCTATGGATAGTAGGAACTGGGTGACAGCAAAACACATTAAGAATTTAAAATATGACCTTTATCCTAAATGGGTAGCATTGGGGCTTGTCATGTGATAAGAACTATGGGGCAACCTTCATGAATCTATCTGTATGAAACAGTTTGAAAAGTGATTACAATTCAGTTATAACTCTAAAGATCTAGAATTTAACATCTGTGCCATAAATTGTAGGAAAAAACAAGGCTACAGATACAGACAGAAAAACAACCAAGAAAAATAAAGATATATGAGAAAAAGAATTTTAAAAAAATCAATGAATTTTGTAGAACCATCTCAGCAAACATAAATAGCAGTATTTGAAAACAAAACAAATCTGAGTCACAGGGCAAAAATAGGGTTGTTTATAACAAAGGGATAGTAGGCATGAAGTAAATTATACCTACTGAATTACTGTACAATCAATCCTCTTATATTTTTCTTCATAAAGTCATTAATGTGCAGAAGAAAAAAAAGTTTGAAAGTTTAGAAATTATTTCAAACCCCATACCCTACATCTCTAGTTGGCTTAGAACATGCCACAGACAAAAAGAAAAAGGGAGAGAGAGAAACTATTAAAGTATTTAAGAATGACATTTAAATAAGTAAAAGGTGAGTAAAAAATAATAATTTCAAGTATATAAGGCTGTATTTTTAAGTTTTTTTTTTAAATCAAGTGGTGTCACATTAAATTATCTCTATGGTTCTTTGCAACACAATTTCTCATAATTCTACAAATTTTAAATGCAGCTATTCAGAAATCACATTATTTCTTAGCAGATAATCTTACAGCACCATCTTCTGGTACAATATTACTGTGCATAGTCTAACAACCAGAAAATAACAATGTTATTATGCTGGTTTTATTTGGTAAAACTTTCTGGTAGATGAAATTTAAAAATTCAAGATATAACAAACTAAGTAACTGAAAAAAGATGTTCTCTCTTAAGCAAGAGCAGAGATTACCTAGCAACAACCTCATTAATGCATTCAACTGTGGGAGACAAAACTGAATTAAAATCAAGATTTCAGAAAGGTTCAGAAAATAGAATGCTAAAGGCCGGCCCGTGGCTCACTTGGGAGAGTGTGGTGCTGATAACACCAAGGCCACGGGTTCAGCCTCATTAATGCATTCAACTGTGGGAGACAAAACTGAATTAAAATCAAGATTTCAGAAAGGTTCAGAAAATAGAATGCTAAGGGCCGGCCCGTGGCTCACTTGGGAGAGTGTGGTGCTGATAACACCAAGGCCACGGGTTCAGATTCCTATATATGGATGGCCAGTTAACTCACTTGGGAGAGCATGGTGCTGACAACACCAGGTAAGGTTAAGATCTCCTTACCGGTCATAACAAATATATACACATACAAACATAGATATATACTGATATATACTGATACAATAAAAGACATAATATCTCTTAATGTGTGATTTAGTCCTAACTAGATAAAAAGGATTAAATAGTTAAGTTTATATCCCTGGAAGTAAAGCCAACAGTGTTTGCTCAGTAGTCACTGTTTTTAGCTAAATTTAACTGCTTAATGCGTGCCATGCTCTGGACTAAGTATTTTAAATGGATCTCTTCTAAAATAGCTTAGATAAAACCATTTACTATCTCTATTTTTCAGCTGAGAGAACTGACATTTGAAAGTTAACTAACCGGCTAGTGGTTAAGTAGTGTACATGTGGCAAAGCTGCACATGAAGCCAGAATGAATCCAGAGCCCACAAACTACAGTGACTTAGCACATACAACTAATCTATGTGAAACTGATCAACAGTGGAACAAACTGATGTATGCACAATCAGAGAATTTAAATAGCCTGATTCTTCACTGACCCCACAATTTGAGAGATCAGAAACATGCAGGAAGTTTTTTTTTTTTTTTTTTTAAGTTAACTCCCAGTAGCACCATAATAGCCAACGTTCACTATGTATTAGCCACTATTCTGACTCATTTAATCTTCACAAAAGCCCTAGGACATTGGTACTGTAATTCCCATTTCACAAATGGGAAAACTGAAGCCCAGAGATGTTCAAAACTTACCCAAGGTCACCGAGTTACTAAGGAAGATGCCAGGGTTTAAACCAGACCAACAAGTTGCAGAATCTATGCTATTAACCACAACTCTGTGTTACCCCTAAGACATATCATACTTTAGATGCAAGTATCCTATGGCTGTACAACTACAAAATAACTACTACTTCCTGAAGTGACAATCTAGGAAGATGATGCTCACTTCTTAGTGCACTGTTATTTTACTTCACTGTAATGCCATCTGGTTTGGCGTACTGTAAAGCTCTACTGAACAGAATACGATGAACACGCTATTCTTCAATTATTCCAGAAAAACAAAAAAATTCTATATAGTTCAATCTAGGCTTCAATAAAAGAAAACTAAACTGGAAAGCAAACAATTTAGAAGGAAAAAAGAGAAATGTTAACCAGCTACATGTATCAAGTGACTTACCTTGAAATACTTCCTCCTCATTCGAGTCATGTTCATCAACATAACTCCAGAGTTTATTCCAGTTTTTCCATAGTATGGATGTCTAGCAAAACGATTATACCATCCTATTCGAGGCTCCTCATGTTCTGGTGCCATTGCAGCAATTTGTGTGGTATTAAACTTCTTTAGTAAAGACCAAATATCATCAACAGGTCGTAAAAAAAGGATATCAGTGTCAACATACAATAGTGAGTCCACTTCTTTCAGGATTAACTATGAGGAGAGATATTCAAATCATTAACTATAATTCTATTTGCTTAATAAAAAACATAAAAGAGGATACAATTATAAGAGATATCCCTAAGAGATAAGCTACCGTACATTAATTTTTTTGAAGTAGTTTTTTCCTAAATCTGCCATTTCTGACAACAGCATATTGTAAAGATACTATGTTAATCTTTATATTAACTTTTAGAGAAGGAAAGCTATAAAAAACAAACCAAAACAAAAAAATACTAACAATTGGGTAAATAAAAGCAATATCTTCAAAGATCAGGGAGGAGATGTTTTTCATAACAAAAAACTACATTAACTTAAGTGAAATTATATCTCAAATTCCAATCTCCTGGATAAATACAGAAATATATCAACACAAGTGAAGATCTTCTAAACTCATCCTCCTCAGCCTGTATGTACACTGGTACCTTTACCTCATTTCAGTATCAACCGGTAAGTGGCAGAGCCAAACAGAGTCCATGTTCTTATCCTATGCTTACCATCTCCCAGCAAATGAAAGAAAATGCGCACTTAGCAAGAGTAAAGAGAAGACTTGTCTTACAAGAAAAATTAGCTATGTTGTACTTTCTGAGATGTTAAATCTCCAACATGTGCCTTCCACAAGGATTTTTACAGGAAATTTTTTATTTCTGCTTTACCCACATTCTTTAGAATATGACTACTGCAAATTTAAATTTATTGCCTATCCTGGTTTATTAGTAAGATTCCATGATTGTATTAACCTAAACCTTTTAAATTAAGAATATAATGAGAACAAGAGTTTGATCCCCATTCTGCTACTTTTCAAAGCTGCTACTTCATGCAACTAAAGTTAAGCCATCACCATTATATAATGAGCAGCTACAGGATGAAATCACCTCATTCCTCTCTCAGTTCACTATCAGCTGATTTAACTTCAGGCTGAGAAAAAAATCTGATGGTTGACTGCAGAGCCTGAGTAGCAAAGGTTCACTTGCTCAAAAATGTCAACTAAAAGCGGGGATGGGGGAATGTCTCTTCTCGGAGGGAGGGGGAAGAGGGAAGTAAGGAGAATCATTTTAATTATCAACATTTTCCTTCTGTACCATAATACATCATCTGTTTACAGATTAGTATATTCTTAGCAGACTAGGAAGATGCTGCATAAAGCTCCAAGTTCAATGTTAGGAACCACTACCAATTGGAAATCAGACATAAGGTTACATAATAACCATGCCAGTATTTTTCTACGGTTCATTTTGGAAGAAGACACTGGCAGAGTTTACATTAGTTCTGTTCATTCATCTATTTCAAAGGAAAAGAAACAGCAGAAAAGTTTATCACTAGGAAAAATAAAGCATCAATTTACTGAAATCTGGCTTAAAAATGCAGAAGTAACAGTATAGTGTAAAGACAATTTGACAATTTTCATTTTAGTACTTAAAATTACATTTAGGAATTTAACCACATCATATCATTAAATGATCTGACAAATTTTTATCACAACATCAGCAATTAAACTTGTTAATAAAGCAGAACAAAATGACAGAGAAATGGCTGTAGCCTCAGGCTTTTCTTTCATCATGTACTGTTTTTTCAATAACATATTTGTGTGATTACTTGTTTAATGTCTGTATCCCTCATTAGACAATAAACTCTATGAAAACAAGAAACCTCTCTGTTCCATCCATTCCTATACACACAGCATTTTAGTACAGATGACTGGCAGAAAATAGGCACTCATATACTAATTAAATGAATGGGACACTACAATAATTCAACATAAAATTTATTTTAGAAAGTTACAAAGACCATAAAATGTATCTAAATTTTTTCAGGCTTTTCCCCAATCTTAATCCCTTATTTGTGTGTTTTTACAGCTAAAGGGAAAGGTGAGAAAGATCCTAAGATCCCAATTTTTTATGCACAGCAACGAAATACCGGTTACACAGACTTGGCTATCAAAATTACAACTTAAATTTAAATCTTATTGACATCCTGGATTCGGTAAACTATATTCTTAATATGCTAAAGACTGCCTTAGTCCATTTAATAACAAGTAACTGAAGGTTCTTCCTAATAATTCACATAATTTCCAGAAACTTGTGTACTTCTTAAATTCAATATGTCTACTACCATAAATTTTTTTCATATATTAAATTTTTAAATCGACAATACCATTAAGTATTTTAAACATCATACTGGTCCAAATGACTACTGTGAATTTTAAAACTGTGGGTGAAACCAATTCAAAACGAAATAGGTAACTTTGCTTCAGAATATTTTTAGATGGGGAAAAAAAAAAAATCAAGGATTATAACCAGGGAACACTACCAAAGAAAAGCTCTCCTGAGGGCCGGCCCAGTGGCGCACTGGAGAGTGCGCCACTTGGGAGCGCGGAGGCGCTCCCGCCAAGGGTTCGGATCCCATGTGGCGACTGGTTCCCGCTCACTGGCTGAGCGCGGTGCGGACGCAACACCGAGGGTTGTGATCCCGTTGCCGGTCCCTGGTAAGGGCGCAACACCGAGGGTTGCGATCCCGTTACCGGTCAGTAAAAAAGACAAAAAAAGGGGGGGGGGGAAGCTCTTCTGAATAAATGGTTCCCATTTTCCCTTTGGGTTCACATGCCTTACATGTTATATCTGTGTTTAAGTATCAGTTAGAAAAGATAAACTGACTTGGTACAATAAGACAGAAATGGTTATTTAATGACGCAATTTACCTCATTTCCCAAACTATAAACGTAGTCTGTAATTTGATGGTTATACTGCCACTGCATTTCTGCTGGCAACAAACTTGGCTCCATTAACATCTAACAACCTCTACTTCTTAGAGATAAAACAGTTCATAGCAACTGAATAAATTAAAGTGTAAGAAATGGTATTGCAACAGAAATTACTACAAACTTTTCATTTTTTCTTTTTTTTTTTTTAAAGATGGCCGGTAAGGGGATCCTAACCCTTGACTTGGTGCTGTCAGCACCATGCTCAGCCAGTGAGCAAACCGGCCATCCCTATATGGGATCCGAACCCGGGGCCTTGGTGTTATCAGCACCGCACTCTCCCGAGTGAGCCACGGGCCGGCCCAAAACTTTTCATTTTTAACAGGGGTTTTAATATAGCTTTGAATTATTCTATGGGAATTTTTTTCTCATGGTTAAAATGAAAACAGTGCATGCACAAGTGTGTATCAATTTATTTAACTGAATTTACACGTAATTCTTCAGAAACTTATCTGTATAAAAGTGACATTTAAAAAAAAAAAACACTGGTTGAAAAAACTTACTGGCAAGAACAATCTTTGGGAAGCACATGGTTTAAAGAGTTTTTTCCACTCCGCTGCATTCTCACTTGGAAAGGTTATGGGATATAATGTATAATTAAATGTTTGTAGAAATGACCAGCTGTCAAGCTAAAAAACATAAAAAAATAAAAAAGAATCCAGTTTAGAATTGTTTCACTTTAAATTTTCTCTGCAAAATCATAAACCAACAGATTATGAAACAGAACAGTTAAAAATTTAGATAGTATACATTTTATGTTGTGCACCGTTAAGAGATTCTTCTTTTTCACCATCTTCTTTGTTTTCATTCAAAATCTAAAAATCATAGTAATATGCCAGAAAGACTTTACCATTAAGATCTGAGGCATAATGGAAGTTATTAGGGTATGAATCACAAAATCAGAAAGTTGAAAGCCTTGCAAAATGTTCACCTTCCTCAACTTTATCTGATATGTAAAGTCTCTCAATCCCTAAACAATTTAAAAGTCAGAAAAATTAAGCACTAATTTTATTAGCATAGTATGTGGGATATAATACAATATATTCAAAAAGTCAGATCAGTATGAAACTGGTTAAAAATATTTGTCCATCTATGCATAGTTTTAATATGCATGGATATTCCTGACTTATTAACTGAATATTCTGATAAATACATATCCAATGCCAATTTTTAAAAAAATCATTACAAAAAGCAAAATATATCTGAAAACCTATTAACAAATACATTGACTCTGCAGTTTTCTGAACGCATTTCAAAATAATGAATTTCAAATTCAGTTTAAGTATTACCTATCACTGTTGCTTCAACAGAACTGTGGATTCAAATTTCCTGAAAAACATTCAGAAACAATCTATGAGGTAGAAAAACTACGTAGTTTATGTAACAGGCTGAAGATATTATCTTTTTGAACTATGACTGTGTTCAAGTAACTTTAAAAAATTATCTTCCAACATAGTTTAAGAGAATGCTTTTACTTCCCACACTCTGTTTTGGTGTCTCTGTTAATTATTTTAAAACACTACCTCTTTTATTTTCCCTGCCCAACTTATAAATCAAATCTTAATCAGTTTTCACTTTAAAATTATAAATATTTAGTCATCTTTTTTGCTCTAAAAGCATGTTCCACAAAATATTTGATATTCTTTCATCAAAAGCAAAACCAAACATTTTCAGTGTTGATTATTATAGTCAAAGGAAAAACTAAGTTTAAAAATACTATGTATGTTACAGAAGTAATATAACTCAGCCAGGTTTGAACACAACACAGAGGCTGCACCCAAGATGAAGCAATAAATGTTTTACTTGTTTATTACATTTTCAAAGGTTTCTACAGTTGGTAGCAGTCTCTTACTATTCTCTTAACTGGGAGGACAAGATTAATTCTTCAGTTAATATTTTAGAAAACAATCCAGATAAAGAGATCAAAATATCAAAAATATAGATACTAGAAATACTTTTAAACAGTAAGTAAACCTTTATACCTCTTGGATTAAAAGATTTTGGCAGAAAACTAAAAAACCTGAGATCACAAGTGGTATTTTTCACTCAATAAGAAAAATGAACACTAATTTAACATGAAAAAACATCAAAAAAAAATTTTTTACATAGTCAGACCAAGCATAAAAATCCAAATTAATTTAAAAGCTTAACTTAGTAGCAATAGAGATAGAAGACAGAGACAGAGAGACAGACAGGCAGAAAGACAGACAGACAGACAGACAGAAGGGAGGATAATCATTAGCATCATCTTTAATGCCATCTCAGAACATAAGGTAGTGAGATTTCAGGTGAATTTTCTTTTTCTTACATATTCTCCTCCCTGTATCTTCTGTTCTCTTCTTACATAGTAATAATTTTTTAAGAAGGATGCAAGGCTGTCCTGATTAAACTATATTTTCCACCCCACTAATAGCTAGTTATGGTCATATGACTAAATTTAGACCAATGTGATATTAGCAGAAATGTCACAATGACTTCTGGAAAGTGTCCTTAAAGAGAAGGAGGGGATTGTCTTCCTTCATTCCATTCCCTCCTGATGTTGGATAAAATATACGTGTGATGGCTGGAGCTTGAGATGCTGTCTGGGACCATGAGGTAGAAAGAAGCCTCATGTTGAAAATGGCTCAGTCAGAAGAAGCCAGCATCCCCTGAAGATGAAGAGCTGCCATATAATCCAGACTGCCTACTTTTACATGAGAGAGAAATTAACATCTTTCTTGTTTAAGCCACTGTTATTTTGGATTTTCTGCCACTGCAGGCAAATTGATTCTAATACAAAACCAAAATAAATAACTTTCTTGTCAGAGCAAGAAGCCACTCCCCTCTATATTGTCAATCAAGAATTCCCTCCCCTCAAAATAGGATTGAATTCTTTGTGTACATTCATGCTTACTGACACGCTCCCAAACCAAGGATGGGTACAAAATTAAATCATACATGGTCTCAGTCATACATTCTGAAACTACAGTCAGTAAAATAAAACCTCCTTGCTTGGCAAAGGACATTTAAAGTAGCCCACCCTGTTCAAAAACAAACCTTCCCCTTATACCCTAGATCTGGACTCTTAGATGGAAGTGGTAGAAGGAGTACTCTCACTCCAGGAGGGCAGAGTTACACAATAAATGCTCTTGTTCAATAAAGGAATAAAACAACATCCTATTATAGTACACTACTAAATATTCTACTCAACAATCTTGACTAAGTTTCAAATACTTACTCTGTCTTTAAAGCTATCATGTAGCTGATCTTCAGCAAAAATATGAAACTGAAGAGGTTTGATGCTGAAAATGATAGCTGACTTCAACATGGTCATAGTTTCTTCCAGTCTTTCACCACAGGCCACTACAGCTAGGTGCATTTTCTCAACAGGCTGTATTTTCAGACTATACCTAATGGGGGGAAAAAATCACATTTTCCAACAGTTTTAGTACATGTGTACGACATGGTATTTTTACTATGTTCAAAAACTCAAGTTCAAAGCTTCTATTTAAGAAACAAAGAAACATCAAATTACAAAATATTACAATGTTGAATCAATCATATGCAAGTATTTCTATAGTCTGAACCAGCCTTTCTCAACCAATGTTCCTCACTAGAAACCACAGAGGACAAAAAAATGACTACTTTCTCAATTCTCCCAATAATACATAACAAACACCACTGTAACTGCCCAGGAGAAAAGCACACTGGTTGCCTCAGGGAATTAGGGCTTAATTTTCTCAAGGAATCCACTTAGGAAGACAACATCACTGATTTAAAAATCTTTCATTCAATTTTTTAAAAACTTTATTAAAAAAAACAATAATAGCCTTTAACACATTCTTATTTCATCTAAAAAGCCTTTAACACATTCTTATTTCATCTAAAACCTTTTCCACCAACAGATCATTATGAAGTGAACCAAGTCATAATTTCATCCATAAATATTTCAGTATTGTATCTGATCTTCAGCCATATTGATTACAAGAAAAAATTTCCTTCACAAAACTTTTTTCAATGACACACATTCAGTGCCATTTACCAAATATCCAGCAAGACATAAAAACTTCTAAGAAGGTCTAAAACATACTAGTTTACAGTAGTATGACTTTTTGAAAGGAAAGATTTCCTAAATCCAAGTTATTGGCCTAGGCTACATTAGAACCTCCTAACAGAGAGTAGCAGTGTGTAACAGCAGGCTCAAGTACCCTTGAAGACCTCTTGCATCTGCAGCTGTGCCATTTTTTTCACATATATGGTGTTGGCATGAGCTTGGGTCTTTATAAAGCTCTCCTATTCTTTTCCTTTGACAGGAATTAGAAAGTAGTAGTATTTCCTCCCTTGCCTGTACCTTCTATCCCTTCCCCTCTTTTCTGCTGAGCCCATCAGTTCGTCACACTCAAACGATGTCAGTGGAAGAGAGACTATCTGTACCTTCTATATGTGTAACAAGAAGACATGAACCCAGTTCATCTCAAAACAGTATAAGCCACAACAATACGGGTTAAAGACAAGGCAGTCAACAGTTTTACAGAACTCCAAATTATCGCCTCTTTCCAGTAACTACCTCCAGATCTTACTTCTCCTGGTGATATAATGGTTTTCATTAAAGCATAATAAAGGGCTCGGATTGCTTAACTGGCCCATAACTAAATCTTGCTCCAAAGTCAAAAGCCAAGAGAAGACCTAAAAAGGAAACTATAATAGTCATATGTTGTTTTGCCCAGAATTATCTACATACAGAGACAAGAACTATGATAAACTTTAAGAAATATAAGCAAGATGTTCCCAAAGGGGGGGAAAATCCCTCTAAAATCAGTCCCAGGGACTCCTCATCCCAGGCAGTTTAGCAAGGATATTTCAGTCACACTGCCAGCACTCCTTCCACCAATTTCTACAGGAGTATCGTCAACTACATTGCATTTGCTTTTCTGTTAGGTGTCCCTTTTTAGTAAAACCATTATATATAGTACAGACTCCAACATCTGAACTGACAAATGAAGTATACTTTAAAGATGTCTCTGCCCAGCACCCTTGTTTCTAGAACCCAAGGACAGGAAAACCAATTGCAACTGGAAGAAATTTAAAGGAAGCTTCCACATCAGAGGAAGTGATAACTAAAATCATAGGGAAGCAATCATTCAAGTAATTTTGACTCCAGTTGAATGGTGGAATCTTGTAAGGGTCTATAAAAACGTGCTATATTTTAATCACAGTATGAATGAGATAAAAGTCCCTGTGAATTCAAAGAAATGTTTTCCAAAAGGACATTTTTAAGTCAAACCTATTTTTCTACAGATATATGATTAGAAATTCTTCAGATAATTCAAAGATAATACCTGAGGGATGCCAGGGTTAAATTTGGCATAACCTGAGCATCAAAAGTATGACAGTAATGAATAACAGGTTCACCAAATAAAAAATATTACATCAAAAAAATGAATCCATGAGTCCAAAACAATATTAAGTAAAGGAGTACAGGGAGAGAGATCTTTTTAAAGGATGAATACCAACCAATAAATGTAGAAGGAATGATAGAATTATAAAAATCACTATGATGCAATAACCATTGCAGATAATTTGGACAAGAATAATCAATGAATACTAACACATAGTAACAAAGTATTTTGCCCCCATGTTACAAAGAGAATAAAGATATTGTCACAGTGTAGAAATGTGAGAACACCACCGTAACCAAGTGATCAAACTTAATAACATTAAACTTATAACATCAGATGCCTCCTGACAGCATGCCCAAGAAAGAATACAGTATCTCCTATGAAGTAATCTTGCCAAAAATCCTGAATCTAATCATGAGACAGGCAAATCCAAATTAAGTGACATTCTGCAAAATGAAACAAAAATATCATGTCACAAAGATGCCACCAACACTCCCCCAATGGAAAAAAAAAAAGGCTCGGAACAGTTCAGTTCCAGCATAAAGGAAACCAATTAAATCTAACAGCTGAATGCAATGTATGATCCTTAACCGGGTCCTGAATCAGGAGGAAAAGATATAAAGGACATTAACAGGAGAATAAGGAAAGAAGAATAGGAATAAATATTCTATCAGTGTTAAATACATTGAGGTGACAATTTTATTATACTTTTATTGGAGAATGTCCCTGTTCTTAGGAGAAACTAGGAGATACATGCTGAAACATGTATTTAGGGATGTGTCATAATGGCTGCAGCTGTCTCTCAAATGGTTCAGAAAAAAAAACAGGCAAAATATTAATAATAGGTAAATATCTAGGTGAAGGGTATATGGTGTGTTCACTCTACTATTCTTGTATCCTCTGTAGATTAGAAACTTATAAAGTAGAAGGTTGAAGGGGAAGGGTGAATCAGGAAAAAAGGTTAGTAACTTAATGTTTTACAAATACTGTTAACAGATTTCTAAGCCTCAGGAATATATTGCCTCTTATTTTAAATAAATTTCTACTACAAAAGAACCATAATATTTTTCTTCTATTTTTCTTATTTAGACACCATAAATAGCTTCCAGTGTCGTCTTCTAGCCTATTATTAAATTAGCATTCTTTCTATAAAGAGTGTAATATTTTACACTAGGAATTAGTATTATAATGAAGTATATGAGGGTACCTCAAAAAGTTCGTGAAAGATTCGTATTATCTTTCAATTCTATTTTTCCACAAACTTTTTGAAGTGCCTGTATATAAAGCAGCCTGCCCTCCAGTGGTGGCAGAGCTGGGAATTGAACCTAGCTTCAGAGTCCAGCCCATAACTGCTACATATACAGCCTGGTACCTACATAAAAAGTCAAACTAAACAGAATTTAAGATAATAATCTCCCCAAGCTACAAAATAAAGGCCATGAACCTATCTTTAAAAGCCTGCAGTTGAACAAAATAGAAAACTATATTTAGAAAATACTAATGACAATTTCCTAATTATATGTAGCTTTTTTTTTTCCTTTTTGTCTTTTTTCGTGTCCGGCAACGGATCGCAACCCTCAGTGTCGCGCCCGGACCAGGACCGGCAACGGGATCGCAACCCTCGGTGTTGCGCCCGCACCTCGCTCAGCCAGTGAGCGGGAACCGGTCTGTATGTGGGATCCGAACCCTCGGCAGGAGCGCCGCCGCGCTCCCAAGCGGCACACTGTAGCAGTGCGCCACCGGGCCAGCCCTATTTGTAGCTTTTTTTAAAAAAAGTTTTTCCTGGGGCCGGCCCGGTGGCGCACTGGATGAGTGCGCCGCTTGGGAAGCGCGGCGGCGCTCCCGCCCG